GCTGGTGGGTATGACGCATACCTACTGGAAGATGGGGGGGGGGGGGTGTCTGGGTGGAGAAGGCCCAGTCCCAATCTGAGTAGGCTTGGAGACCTCAGCCCCGGGACTCGCATGCCTGGGTTCCTCTGCCAGTTCTTTCATGCATGAAGCCCATCCGGACATGTGGAGAGTGGTCCCAGCATGGCCGTGGCTGGCTCCGGAGGTCCTCAGCTGCTGGGGCTCTGCTCGGGGTGGGGGGGGAAGAAACTCAACCCTCCCCCCTCCAAGGGACCCCGGTGAGGATAGCCAGGCGTGGGGGCAGGAGACTCTGCGCTGTTTTCCTCTGAGAGCTGGGTTTTATAGTCTCTGCGTCTTGGCTGTTGATGAGACCAACCTGGCGCTGGCGGTAGCTGGTGGGGGTAAAGCCTACCTACTGGAAGATGGGGGGTCTGGGTGGAGAAGGCCCAGTCCCAATCCGAGTAGACTTTTATATATATATATATATATATATATATATATATATATATATATCTTATTTGAACCAGTAGCAGATATTTCTTCAGTCAGATTTAGTTTTTACAGCAGATGTTGAACTTTTCCTGTGTGCCAAATGTGGTTCTGGGTATAATGAATAGGATATAGTGCCTCTCTGCATAGTGTTTGATTTACTCACACACAACCAAGAGATGATGCTATGGGATGCAATTGAGTGATACAAACAGCGTTAAAAAAGTTCTTAAGAGAAAGCAATTGTTTCTGTAAACTTTAGGAAAACATTAGTGGTGGTGACATATGAGATGTATTCCCTACTGGTTTTTTAGCTTATTCTCATAAATATGAATATCTCCTTCATCTTGCCCACTTCTTACTCTAATTGCTTCAACCATAAAGAGTACATGTCGCTACAAAAGATTCCCCCACCCCATACCTTAGTTTCTCTCTATTTCTGGTCAGTGTCAATACCTACCGTTGTTTATTTTAGTGGACGGAAGTTTGTATCACAAGGACATAAATTATTGTTGGTGTTGGCAGAGAGAATAAACAGATTCCATTTTACCCTTGTCTAGACTTGGGTAAAGAAAGTGTCCTAAAAATACCACATAAATATTTTGGAATGTTATGTCTCCATGAATCATCTGGCTTAATTAGACTGGTCATTTTGGATCCATTTTTATGCAACCAATTTTTTATGGTCACCAATATCTGACCAATTTACAAACCCAGAGAGAATCTTCTGGGAAATGCTAATGCTTACTGAACACAAGCTCCAAAGAACCACAATACTATTTTTTTAAATTTCTAAGTGATGCAACCATGATTGCATATTTTTAAAAAAATCTTAAAACCTCTTAGTTCATTAAAAGTTTTGAAGCCGTAATGTTTGTAAACTCTCAGAGTAATATAAAGTATAATAATGGATTGTCAGTACAGATAAGGAAAACCTGTGTGTAGTTTCTTCAGAGTTCTCAAAAGGCTAGTAGAGATTGAGAGAGAAAACGTGGGGAGTCTGATTTCTTGCAGAGAATAAATTCTGCCACATTAGCCAGGCCTTGCATATGCCTTTCTCAAAATTATCCATTGTGCCCATAGGGTAATTTTGAGAAAATTTTGATAATTTTGAGAAATTCTTTCTGCGTGGTTTTCCAGTCACTGTCTGCCTTAACTTCCTGCCTCTCTGCCCTGTACACACTCCGGACCAGTCACACTGACTCTCTTGCCAAATTTTGAACTAACCCTACTTATTCCTAAAGCCTCAGCCTTTGCACTCACTCTCCTTTTGCAAAATCACTCTTAGATTTTTACTGAGCTCACTTTCTTATTGCTCTGACATTCCTGTTCCAGTCTGCTCTAATTTATCTCTTTGGGGGTCTTTTCTTGACTACCATGAAAGTTGTGTTTCTATAACTAACTCTGCTGAGTATTTTTTGATAGCAGAATTATTACCTATAAAAGTACATGTGACATTGTGTAATTTCTTATGATTGTTCTTTTCTTGATGATAAGACTGGACTTTGTTTTCTGCATGATACATGGTGCTGTGTACATATACATTCAATAAATATATGAAAGTAACTCACATTCCCTTTGCATAGAATTAATAGTGTTTAAAAAAATGAGAGAGTTTTATTGGTAGTATCCACGGTGGCACAGAACAGAGGAAGTATATGGTTTTATAGAAAGAGCACAAAACTTAACATCAGAACTGATCCATATTACCCTGATTACTTTGGTAGTGGGCTGGAGTGATGGCTCAGCAGGTAGGGTGTTTGCTTTGCACGCGACTGACCTGGGTTCGAGTCCTCCATCCCTCTCAGAGAGCCCGGCAAGCTACCGAAACTATCCTGCCCACATGGAAGAGCATGACAAGCTCCCCATGGCATATTCAAAATGCCAAAAGCACTAACATGTCTCACAATGGAGATGTTACTGGTGCCTGCTTGAGCAAATCAATGAACAACGGGATGGGAGTGCTACTTTGGTATTAAGTTTGAGTATCATTTTCTGCTGACCAAATGAATTAGAATAAAGCTGATTAGACCAAAGGATAAGAGGAAAGTAGAAAGTTTTTGTAGCTCTTTAAGTCTTAATATAGTTATTACTATATCTTGTCGCCAATATGCAAATATTACAAAAGCAAAACCAACTATTCAAATTAAAATTTACCACTTTGCAAACTAAGAAATTGCCCCTAAATGGCCAGTTAGCTTCTAATAGCTATTAAAAAGAAAATTTTAATTCAATGGGAAGAAAAAAGTTGAAAGACTGCTCGATCATTATTTTAAAAAGGGGGAAATATGATATTTTCACATATAAGTGCTCATAAATGCAATTATAAACATAGTCTTTGTGGCTTTTAAATTTCAATTTTTAGAAAATTATCTTGAATTTCACATTGGTTCTTACTCTAGAAATAAGTAGATAAGCTAATCTTTGCTAGTTTCAAATTTTAATTTCATAATATCCCCTGCCATCTCAGATAGAATGTTTAGGTGTCATACTGTGTGGAGAAAAGAAAAGGGAACAACAACAAAAATAATATTGTTTAAATTCCCTTCTCTAATAAGGAAATTCATAATGTTGTGTCATAAACTCTAAAGAACATTACATTTCTTAGAGATAAAAGCAGGTAAATTTCTTAGAGATAGGTTAAGTTAAAACCAAAAAAAACCCTTTAACATTAATATTTGGACAAATAAATGAGAGCTCGAGTTCATAATTTATGAACTGATACTTTCATAGGTGAGGGCTAATTTTAATATGGTAGCCTTATTTACTTAATTATTTTAGCCAAGGATATTGCCGTATTACCGAGATACTTCATGAGTAATGAAGCTATTAAAATTGCATGTTACAGTCTGTGTGTAATTTGTGTGCCTGTTTACATGAGTGAGGTGAAGGAGGTTTATTAAAATAATATCTGTATGTATTTGAGATGAAAAGTACGTGCTAAATGACCCTTGTGGAAGGAAACCAACTGTTTGCTCTGCAGGGCAGGGTTTCACTCCTATACACTGCCTCGATTCAAAGAGGGACTTCTTGCTACTCCAGCCTTCTTTGCTGTCTCTATTCTCTGCAGATTTTATTTTATTTTTTAATTTTTATTAGTGAAACATCATGAGGTACAGTTGTAGACTTAAAGATTTTTGTGCTTGGGTTTCAGTTATACAATGATCCAGTACCCATCCCTCCACCAGTGCCCATTCTTCATCATCTACATTTATTTTTTAAATTTTTGTTTGTGAAACACTATGAGGTGCGGATTTTATTGAGTTGAGCCTCTGAGAAACAGAGGAGACAGTTGAGGGTAGCACCAATCTATTACCCTGGGAGAATTCCTAAGCTCAGTCATGGCTGAGTGCCAGTGTTTCCTCCTGATGAAATCTTTTCCAGCCATTTTCTTAATGTCACGGAAGAATATGTTCTTTGATCTTCTGAGTTAATGCTTTGCACAGATTTCTATATAGCTTGCACCACCTAAAGTTAATCATGATTGTGTAAATCTTGTCTATCTGCTCAATGTCTCCTGGTCAACTCTGCCTGTGAGCTTAACACAACCCATAGCGAGTGCTGATGGGATCTTTTCACGCTAATTTGATGGAGGTGCTATCCAATAGTCACGTCTCTTCAAAGAGCTGAAAATTTAAGCAGCCCAACCAAAGTTGAGATGGGGTGCTCCTGTCTTTCCTTTGGACTGCTAAAACTAGGAAGGTGTGGAAATGGTTCATACTACTTTTTTTAAAATTCCAGATTTGGTGGCTGAAGCAATAGCACAGCGGGTAGGGTATTTGCCTTGCATGAGGCTGACCGGGTTTGATTCCCAGCATACCATATGGTCCCCTGAGCACCATCAGGAGTGATTCCTGAAGGCAAAGCCAGGAGTAACCCAAAACTGGGTTACTGAGCATCACCAGGTGTGACCCAAAAAAGAAAAAAAAATACAGAATTTAAACCCCCATTCTCTCAGTTGTTGTTATTATTACTGTTATAATGACACTTCCTGTGCAAGGATCAAACTGCTCCATCTCATTTCCTCTTTCCACTGAATACAACCCTTGACTTGAAAGTTATTTAATCCTGAACTTCGCATATGTCACTGCAGTGCTATTCCACTTGCTAACTATTCCCCTGGTCTTCTATATGTTATAAATGTAGATATGAATGCATGGAACATTCTTGATGAAAAAAGATTTATACTTGGCCTTGCCAGAAAAAAGAGGCTCTGGGGTGTGTGTGTGTGTGTGTGTGTGTGTGTGTGTGTGTGTGTGTGTGTTTCCACTAACATTAGGGGACAGATATAGATTGAAGATTGGGGAAAGGGGGCGATTTAAAAAGAAATTGATTGACCCCAGTTTCCCTCCCATTAGTCTGATGGGTGTTGGAACATTGTATGACTGAAACCTAACCATGAACAACATTGTGAGGGTCTATCTCAGTGATTCAATTGATAAAAGATTTTAAGAAAAAGAAAAGAACAATTGAGCTCTATGGTTTCTGAACAATTCTTTGACATTCTTTTCTAGGTTGATTTTGGATTTGCTAAGAAAATAGGATCTGGACAAAAAACATGGACATTCTGTGGAACTCCAGAATATGTTGCCCCAGAAGTTATTCTCAACAAAGGACACGATTTCAGTGTAGATTTTTGGTCACTGGGAATTCTAGTGTATGAGCTCTTAACGGGCAAGTAAGTCACTCAAGTTATGTTCAACCTCTTCAAAAAAAGTTCTAAAATAACTTACTAGTGATTTAAAAATGGATATGAACTTAATATTTTGTAAATTTACTTTTACTAAGTATAATGTCTTTTCCTCTTTTCAGTATTTCACATGTAGTATGTTTGCTAGTTCATCTGATGACAAAGCATTTAGGAAGCTGAGGAAAAAAAGAGTATACATTTCCCAAAATTTCCCTAAAATGGTAAAGCCTATTATGTTAAGTGTGTGAGGGATATGATCATTTGAAAAAAAAAGAGTAAGAAAGGGAATTAAAGTCATGACTTTTATGACTATTTCTTCTTATATATTATTTTGCAATTGAGAAAATAGCGATCACAGTTCAATTAAATTCATTGAACTTTAAACCAAGTTTAGTCATGTTCTTCCATCTTCCCAATAAATCATTAATCAGAAATGCTATGAGAAAGCAACATTGCTGCATTTCAATTTTAATCTCCTTGTCAGTTGCTTTCTAGATGTGCTAATGAACAGAGACAAGACACAGTGGGAGTTTTAGCAGTTAAAATTGAATTGTCATTCCTGGTGAGATAAAAGGCTAGATTAATGAATACGGGATCTCAGATTTCTACACACACACACATACACACACATTTGTATGTACACATACACATCTAGGCTATATGTAATATTACCTCACATTTATATAGTATCTTGCAGTTTACAAAGAATTTTTAAATGCTTCAAAGTCTTGAGACATACTTTGTAAAAAGTTGTAGAAAGAGAGTTTCATAGAATCTTCTTTAACATTTTAGACTATAAGCTTCGATATTAAATTACCTGGTTGACTGTATCCTGTTACGGTCATACCCACACACATTGAATAAACCTATAAGAAATATTGTTTTATGTCTTCTGAAGTCAGTTTTGAATATGTATTGTTTATGGTTTTGAAGAAAATAAGAGAGAACTAACTGGTCATTTCAGAAAAACATTTTTAAGGGATGCAAGAAATTCTCTTTCATGAATTGCATCCTCATACCTAGGAAATCTGCGAGTTGCTTTTTAAAGAGAAATATGCTACTTTCTGTAGCTAACTGGCGACTACATATATTTATGTATATGTATATATATATATGTATATGTATATGTATATATATATTGGTCCTCTTTGGCCGAAATAAATTGTCATAAAAATAAGTGAGGTTGTGAAGAAGTGGGGGAAAATCCAGTAACTAGGAGTTTCTATTTTTTGACACTAATTATTAGGAAATTATTTTTGTAAATATTTTCAGGGAAGGACATGAGAGAAGTTCATTTTGAGCTCCCTGCATCCTAGAGAATTGGGATCTAAATGAAAATGATAAAAGATCTAACAAAACAAAACATAATATGGTGGTAAATCTATAAACAAAAATATTGCAGCAATACTTTTTAAAAAAATTTCTACATCATTTTTCCTTTTATAAGCGAGATATAGATTATTGAGAACTTGACTCACCTGTCTCATGGTTATTTCCACAAATGAGAACTGTCAGTACTAATAGGTTCAAGTATGCTGAAATATAACATAGTTCATAAAAGTCATTTTCAGTTAAAAAAAATAAAATGATAATAAAATAAACATGAAAGTTAAAGTATTTTTATAGGCAAATGTGTATTTTAAAATATAATCAGCTGGGGTTGGGGAGAGCACCGTGATAGGACATTTGCTTAACATTCAGTCAAGTCAGGTTCAATCCCCAACATCCCATATCGTCCCCTGAGTTCTTCCAGAAGTGATTCCTGAATTCAGAGCCAGGAATAAGTCCTGAGCATTGCCACGTGTGACCTCCAAATATAAACAAATACTAATAACTAAATAAAACAACACATGTAGTGGTCAGTTCCCTTGGTTTATACTCATTTTAGCATGAAATACTATGGGGCTTGGTGTCTAGGACCTTCCTTTCTCTCTTTTTGTTCCAACTTTGGTGACATCTTCTCATTTTCCATTGCTGGCTTGTCACCCACACCTGTCATTGCTGGGTGACTTCAAACCTTTATCTCTTTTGCATCTACTTGCTGGATATTATGAAATTTTATGACTCCTATACTGTCTGTTGATGCTTTGGAAACATAGCTCCATCCTTGTTATCCTCCCATCACTTAATCACTTAATCACTTAATCCCCGTTATTCATCGATTTATTCGAGCGGGTGCCAGTAACGTCTCCATTCATCCCGGTTGCGTGCTAGCGTAGCCCAATGGTATCTGTTCATTTTAGGAACATGTAGAGCCTCAAACCGATCATTTAGGGTCTTGACGAAGAAGTCTGACCATCTTATAGGTGGGCGTCCACGTGATCTTTTGATGTCTCGTGGAATCCAATCAGTAATGGCTCTAGTCCAGCGGTTGTCTGTAAACCTCATTACGTGTCCAGCCCATCTGATTTTTGATGTCTTGGCAAATGAGACAGCGTCCCTGATTCTTGAGCGTTGACGAAGATCAGAACTCCGGATTCTATCTCTCATTTGAGTGAATCGTGATATTCCAAGCATAGTTCTTTCGATTCCTCTTTGAGAGACCCGAATAGTGTTCTCATCCTGTTTTCGTAGGGTCCGGGTCTCTGAGGCATATGTTAATGCAGGAAGAATAGTGGAATCAAAGAGATGTGCTCGTAGCTGGAGGTTCTTTGTCCTTTTAGTTATTTCTTCAATGCTCTTGAAGGCATTCCAAGCCGCTCTCTTCCTCCTGCATAACTCAAGTGCCAGGTCATTCATCATGTTGATTTCTCGACCTAAGTATATATAACTGTTGCATTCGGAGATGGTGGTTCCGTTGAGAGCGAATGGAGCGTCAGGAACAAGGCTGTTTCTCATAAACATTGTCTTCGTAAGATTCAGCTGTAGTCCGACCTTTCCACAATAAATGGATCTCATCCTCCCATACAAGACTCATAAATTCTGCTATTTGCTTATATCATCCCTTTGGATGTTCCAAAAATAAGTCTTGATTTTCTTTCCTGTAACTTGCTTTGACCTTGGCAGTCCTACCCTAAGCATTAGCTCCATTCTATATGGCAAACCTATTCAGCATCATAGTTTTAATTGCAGTATGATGATCTACTTTGTTGTAATGTTTTAGACATACAGTGCTAACTGCACTACAACTACCAAATGCCATTATTCTCCTACCACTATCCCTAGGTCCCCTTTCTCCTCCCCATTTCTCACCTTGCATTTGGCAGATTCAATTCTGTTGGAAAAATCTCAGGGCTTGTTCTCTTTGACCATTATCTATTCCTTACTCCTATCTCTTTACACTCCACACATGATGGAGGTCACCTTATATTTGTCCTTCTCCTTGTCACTCACTTCCTTTAACATGACACTGTCCATTTTCATTGAAGCTGCAGGGAAGTGCAAGACTTCATATTTTCTTCTATTCAGCATGGTTCTAGAAACCTTTCCTCATGCCAGACAAACCCTCTTGACTTTTACCATCTAAAGACCTAGAATTCAGCTATACCTCACCATCTACATCATGGTCATTCTACTCCAGACTTTCCCACCTGAAACACCATCGCAAATTATACTCCACACACTAAAATAAAGATTACATGGGCTATTGTAAATTAGATTTGTTAGATGTGAACCCATTTCCAGATGATTACCAGAATTCACTGGTTCTATATGATATTGTACTCCTCCCTTATACCATTATGCAAACTCATCCCTTCTCTTCGGCATTGCCTACTGCAAGAAGGAATGCTCAGTCCTGACTCACAGTCTTTATACTTTTTTTCCTGCCCACAGATAACAGCACACCTTCTTCATCCCTCTTGGTTTTTAGCTCTGTGATTATCAAATTATGAGAGAAACGTTTCCTATTCGTTCTTTAAAAAATTAAAATCACACGTTATTTTATTCCTCTTCTTTTGTTTCTTTTTCACTTAGTTATCTGAAAAATAACTTGTATAAATATGTGTGACTAGTTTATTAAGTGTCATAAAATTAAGTTAACTATATTTTAGTTTATATTAAGGATTCTTATGAAACAACTGAGAGAGTAGGAAGGAAAAATGATGAAAGAGGAAGAAAAGGAATTTTGTTATAAATGTGTCTAATACCTGTTATACTATTCTACTCCCCCCAATAGTCCACCCTTTTCTGGTGTTGACCAAATGATGACCTACAATTTGATTCTCAAAGGAATTGAAAAAATGGATTTTCCCAGAAAGATTACAAGAAGACCTGAGGATTTGATTCGAAGACTTTGCAGGTAATTGGTACTTCAAAACACTAAGCTCTTGGGGGAAAATTATGAAGGCTTCATATTTTTAAATTAGGAATTTTATTTTTTTAAATGTAGCTAAATTATATTTAAAAATAATTTTCCTGGGGCAGCAAGTTAGTTAGTGGGTAGGGAACTTGTCTTGTATGCAGCTGAACCAGATTTGACCCCTGGCATCTCAAATGGCCCCTTGAGCACGTCCAGGAGTTATTCTTGAGTGTAGAGGTAGGAGTTAAGTCCTGACCATCACTGGGCATGGCTCAGAAAACATAAACAAACAATATTTCCCATTTGTATTCCATTCTAGGAATTTGAGTTTCCAAACATAATTGTAATTCGACTGGATTATGCTGTTTATAAGAGATCTGAATATTTTACTTTATCTTTGGCAGTCATCTTCATCAGTTATTAAGCAAAATAAAATCACAAATACTAATTTTATAAAGGAGTAAATAATTTCTACCTTGTTATTTTGACAGAAAATTCGTGGTTATGATAAAGAAAGTAAATCCCTTTGTTGGATTTCCATTCTTGAGAACCTATTTCTCTAGCCTTATTTAAAGTACTCCAAATTTTAAGTTACCATTATAGACCATTTATAGAAGAATAGACGATAACTAGATTTTTGTTTTACTTTATTTTGCTGCTTGTTTTCTTTGTGTCTAAACTCTTTTTTAAGGTTTAAAATTTAGTGACTTTAGAAAAATGTGTGGTTTTCCAACAGAAATTTTTATCTTATTCTAAGCGGCTAGCTCTGGTGTAATCTTTTTCCAACCATGGAATCTTTCCGGCCATTTTTTTCTATCCAGTGGGCCCCATGTCCTGTAGAATGACCCCCGGGTCTCATGCCATGGACCCCTATATGCATGAGTTTCACCTATGGTACTCATTCAGTATCTTGGGGCATCAGAGCAGGCCACATGGCTCTGACTGAGAGGCACTAAAGTTCTCCATGGTTTTCTCCATAGTGTTGGGGAGCTAGCATCCTGCTCTTCCTTTAAGCACTGATTCATTTGAGTTAAAGTATGGGAATATATTTGGAAGCCATGAGATAGAATGGCTAATAGTGCATTTACCTTGCATATGACCCGTCTGGATTCCATTCCCACATCTCTTATGGTCCTCTGAGCAGTCTAGAAGTGATTTCTGAGTACAGAACCAAGAGTTAGTCCAGAACATCTCAGGATGTGGCCCCAAAACTTAAAAACAAAATATGCATCTCCTGCTGATTCCATTTGACTGTAACTGGAGCTGAGAAGAGCAAGAGATTTCTATCTCCTCTTACTCAGATGTCTGATCCTTAGATCTATAACTATTGTTGAATATATGAATCATTGAATAAAGAGAAGTAAATTCTAATTTAAAATTTTAATCAAGCATAATTATCATGTCATTTAAATTTTTTTAGGCAAAATCCAACAGAAAGACTAGGAAATCTGAAGAATGGCATCAATGACATTAAGAAACACAGGTACAAAGTGACATTTTTTGCTCAAAAAAATATTTATTTTAAAATGTGGTAAGCTTGATATTTCTTTCTATATGCCGTAGAATCTCTTTAGAGACTCCATATTTTTCCTTTTATGGTGCTTTATTTCTAACTTCTGTTTTTCTAAATGCAGTTACAGTAATCAGTTTCAAAGTGATAGCTCTAATACTGAAAATTCATCTCTAGAATGGAAGAAATCATAAAAAAAAGTTACAAAAATCTCTTTTATTAGTTATAACAGCTTAATTTTGTATAGAAGCTTAACGTTTATTATTTTATATCAACTTGGTTACCATAATAACTAACTTTGACATTTGATATTCAAATTAATATATAATATATATATAATGGCTTATCTGAATTCATTGCTGCATACTATTCCATTTCAGGTTTATTTAATAATATTATTATTTGCTTTAAATATGACTTTCCATTTGTCACAGATCAATTATTGAGTCCCCATTACCCTTCTCAAATGGAGATTGGGAAATACTGGGGAATTTCTGCCTCCAACAAATGTTCCTTGTAATCCATGCAGGGATGGAGGGAATGAGGGAGATGGTGTTTGGAGGGTCTGCTGCCTCAGTCTTGCAGGACTCTCACTTTTAAGCACAACAGTTGGAACCTTTTCCCCACCCTTATAATTGCATGTAGATGTGTTTGCCACATGCCCTATGTGGAAACGTTCCCTGTTATGGAACCCGTGCTTCATTAGTATGCTAAATCTCAACGTGTCTGTGATCTTTAATACTAAAATGATCTACCAAGCAGTGCTCAGGGTTCAGGGGTTTCTCTCCAGGGCCCACATCAAGCTCGACAGGTTGGTAAGAACCTCGCCATGTAGATGTGGTTCTATCACAGGCCGGGTAGTGCTGGGGACGGAGACATGTGGTGATAGGGAGTCTGTTTGGATGTCATTTTGGAATGAGTGGAATTGGTACCTTTGAGCCTTCCTCACTTTCCAGGGACATCAAGGCTCCCACGTTCTTTTGAAATAGGATTGCAGGAAGGGGAACAGTTGGTCTCACTCAAGATATAGGGCAAGGATGTGAGTGAATAGCAGTGAATATCTCTTTTTTGGGGGGTCTGGGGAGTCTGAGGGGAGCATGCCAGGACCTTCTTCAGGAGCTTCTCTCTGTGGTGTCCACAGCTTTCCCATGCAAACCATGACCCCCAGCCCATCAAGATATGTCCCCAATCCCTAGGTTTTCTCTTAACTTATACTCCTGCAGCTGTTAACATTCTAACATTCATTTTGATACCTCATGTTGTATTTCAATTTGGGGGTAAAGTCCATGGATTTCCATGGCAATGAGTACTTTATCCTCATGTAATAATACTCTCAAGTGTGCTTTTTGCAATTTTGTGAATTGTTGAAACAGCCTTCGGAACTGTCAGTGACTCCCATGAAATAGATATGGTTTGTGATTCTGATTTGTGGAATATGTATAATATGAATATATGTGGAAGTATAACCTTGAGATGAAAAATGTAAATAACTCTAAGAGCTGACCACAGGGAGGAATTAAGGTTTAGGGGCAATACTGGGTAATGGCGACAGATTATGTTATGCCTGAAACCCTATTGTTAACAGGATTATAAACCATGGTGCTAAAATTCAGAAAAGAAAAAAATAAATCCATACCTATATAAGTCTTGCAACTCTCAAGTTTTTTTTAAATTTTGTTTATGACTTATGGATACAAAAACCTCACCTGCAGTGATATTACAAAACAATGAATTTCAGAATATTATTATTGGAAACCATTGAACACACCGATATGTCTACTTTTAAGAAATAAACCACTTTGCTATATTTTACTTCTCTCTGGTTATTTGTACTGAAGATTTTGGAACATATCAATGTGGTGTGAAAATAAAGGAAGAGATGTTGCTGAATAAAAACACTATTCATTTAGCAGTAGTGTTGCTTCAAAAAAAATGTCCTAAACTGCCAACCCTGCTTTATATTCATGAACTTTCCTGAAAGAAGTCAAGTTTTCAACATTGTAAATTCTTATCAGGCTTTGCCTTAAAAGTGTATTAGGCAGGGAGGTAGCAGGGAAGGCAAAGAGAGAGATTAAAAGACAGAAAGAGAGTGAGACAGACACATCTGTGGATTTTTATAGCCATCAAAATGCTTATAATTTGTTTTTTGTCATCTTTTGGATTGCCTTCAGTGGTAAGCTCATTACTTGTCACAGATTCCAATTTATCTTTCTTTCTACATGCTGTTATCACAATTTCTTTCCTCATTATGAAATGACAGATAAACACACCATTCATATTGAACAATGTTTCATCAATTAAAGTCATTTCTCCAATGTTGTTTTTCTCCTTTTTCTCATTAGTGAAGCATCTTCCTATTTTGCTTTGGGGTAGTTGGAAAATAGCAGAGATATAATTGTTAACAAGCTCGAAAACTCCAGCTTCATCTTTTCCTTATTTACCTGAGGCACCTTTAAATGTAGCTGTCAAACTATGATTGGATGCACATGCAAATTGAGGCTAAAGGAGTTTCTCACCTCAGCATGATAATGAAAAAATCTTAAAGTTCTTTCCCTGTAGGGATTAATTTACTCAATCTTCTTAACAGGCAGGATGTTCTTTGTGACAAAACTGTAGAGATAGAGTGCAGTGGGTAGGGTAGAGTTCACTAATAAGAGGTACCGAATTCACATGGCGTCCCTGGCAAGTCTAGGAGACAGTTACTTCAACTTACTTTCACAGTGCTTATGAAGATTATCAGTCTGGAGTGTGGTAACGATGGAGAACTAAAAAGTATAACTCTCCCTGCCTTCAGAAGGTTTGTTAAAAACCCTCACAATTTTCCAAGTCATATAGCTTGTATATACTTAGAATTACGACAATAAAAGTTGGAAATGATCACTCTTGACCAGACCTGAGTGCTGAGATGAGGTAAAGTGAACTTGCCTTTCAGTAAGACTATTGCAAACCACAGTGCTGAGAGAGAGAGAGAGAGACAGAGAGAAAGAGAGAGAGAGAGAGAGACAGAGACAGAGACAGAGACAGAGAGACAGAGGACAGACAGAGAAGAGAGAGAGCTATCTGTTATAGAGGCAGACTGCAGAGGAGGGGACTGGGGTAAGAGATGTGTTGGAGGGAAGTAGGGTATGTTGGTGGTAGGAAATTTGCACTGGTGAAGGGAACATTATTTGACTGAGACTCATTCATGAAAGACTTTCTAACGGTATATCTCATCGTGATTTAATTAAAGTATGCACTTTTCAATTCTTTCTAAAATTTGCCACCAGTTTCCCACTCTTCTCTAAAGTGAAACTTTCTGTATTTTATTCTTAGAGACCTATATGTTCACTTTAACTTTGTATTTAAACACCATGCAGTTCAATGTGAAACACTGTCATATATTTGCTCAGCCTGTTTCTATTTGTGAGCTAACTTAGAAGATAAGCACCAATCAAGTCTTCAAACAGTCATCTGAAAAGAGAGATAATGTACTTTTAAGGATACAATTAAATCTTTCCTGCTTGGTAATGAAGTACTTGATTTCAACTTTATGTTATATTTTGTTCTTCTATTTCTCTAAATTTTTTTTCAAGAATAGTTCATACAAGTCTAAAAATGAAGAACAATTTTCATCCACTGATATTTCTTTGATGACTATTTTTCACATCTGAGTGCATCCTGTCACTTGAATGATTCAAATTGTGGATAATAACTCCTGATCTGCACTCAGAAATCACTCCCGGTGGTGCTCAGGGGATCATATGGGATGCTGGGGATCAAACTCTGATCCACCACATGCAAGGCAAATGCCCTACCCACTGTGCTATTGCCCCGGCCCGCAAGAGAGTTTTTGTTGAACAAAATTTACTTAGAAAGATGTGAGGGTGGGGCTGGAGCTATTGTATAGCAGGTAGGGCATTTGCCTTGCATGTGCCCCACCTGGGTTTGACTATCAGCGTCCCATATGGTGCAGAGCCAGGAGTAACACCTGAGCATTGTTGGGTGTGACCCAAAAAGAAAAAAAAATGTGAGGGGAGAGAAAAGGAAGAATTGTTAGGACCGTGATCTCCCTTCAACGACAAAGAGACTCCAGAGACTGCAAACAGCAAGCAAGGTTTATTGTAAGACTGGCTAGCCAAGGTCGAGCCGCCTACACAGACACGCAGGTCAGATAGGTGAGGCAAGACCCCGAACTTCTTCAAAGGGGATCTTATATAGGCCTTCACCGGCCATTACAGCAAAGCCCGCGCATTTCATAGCCAATAGATTTGTAACAACATATACTTTCTTAACCAATCCATTTAAAAGTGCATCACTCCTTAGCCTATAGATTCAAAGATCAGCATTTACGTACATAGGCATTGTGGCTAGTGGGCATCTGGTAACTCGGACATTTGGTTATGTTCTTTGTTCCCTTTGATTCTCAGCTCATGGCTCCTGCATTCAGGTGGAGTTGGATAAGGGAGAAGTTCCTAACAGAGGTAACAGATAAGGAAGGGCCAAGGAAGGGTTTCCGAATTTACATCCCAGCAAGGAAGAGTCAACAAATGGTTTCAGAATTTACATCCCAATAAGGAAGGGCTTCACAGCTAAGGCTCTACTAGGGAGGGGGCAGGAAAGGGAGAGTTACTAATTAGCTGAGTTTAGCTCTGGAATTTTCCTCAGGGTCCGACCCTAGGGACCTTACAGAATCTCTTCAGCACCGAATATGGGCATCTCCAGTCTCCAGTGTGTGGGGAGAAAGAGTGGAAAGTGAGAGAGATAGGAGTTCAAGGGAGGATTGGAAGGGCTTGGAAGAGCCAAGCCCAAAAGGTCTTCTGTAGGAATTTAAGTACAAACCCTCCAGGTGGGTTTTTCTTGGAGTTCTCTGTGTAAATAGAGGTTAATCCAAGCGATGTCACAGGAAGAACTTCTGGTTTTTTCATGATCTCATCCCTGGCCCTGTTCATGCGGGTTTCATAATCTTACAGACTTTTCTGTAGCTTCTTATTCCTTCCTCTCGTCCACTGAGAGGGCCCTGCTATAGCTCTGCCCTTAGGCTTATGCAGGTGACACAGAAGCAGTGGACGCAGGTCTCTGTTTGTTCACGATTCCCAGGTTCTTCCGTATTTTCCTTCAAAATGAAAGTATTGAATAACAAAGATGATCAGAGTTGGAAAGAAGAAAAGTTTATTGGAAAGTAGAAGAGAAAAGAAAAGGAGGAACTTAGTGTAAGGCTACGTTACAAGTAAGGGGGATTTGTGTAAGAGGTTTTTATTATTATTATTATTTTGGCTTTTTGGATCACACCTGGCAATGCACAGGGGTTCCTCCTGGCTCTGCACTCAGGAATTACTCCTGGTGGTGCTTGGGGGACCATATGAGATGCTGCGAATGGAACTGGGGTCAGCTGCATACAACGCTAATGCCCTACCAGCTGTGTGGGTATAACTCCAGCCCAGTAAGCGGTTTTTAAAGCTCTCTGGTCAATTGAATTTCTTATCAATTGACAAATGTTACTGAGGATACACGGAAATTACAGGTAAAGGCTCTTCCCGTAGACATTTTCAGTGGAAATTGGGATCTTTACATTTCTTATCAATGAACCAGTATCCCAGAGGTTGTAAGGAAGTTGGTGGTTTATCTTTCTAGCCATTTGCCTCAGGCATTGTGGCTCCCTGTGAGACTAAGCCCCAGGGCAAAACTTTACGGTTGGGGAATTCCTGGGAAGTGATGGCAGGAACTGATGGACAAAGTATGTGTTAGGTGGGTGGGGAGAGATAAGCATCTGGCAAGAGAAAACTGGGTCTTCCTGTCTCACTGGCAAGGGGAAACTGAGGCTGCCTCCTTCAACTTCCCCCTGCTGTTCATTCTGGTCATTTTTCAAGCCATGTCAGGAAAGTGGAAAGGTAGTCGGGAGAGGGACAGAGATATATGAGGGCAGGGGATGTGGGTAGCCTGCGGGGATGGAGGAATGAAGAGGCCAAGGAGAGGGCCCAGACACCAAGTGCGTCCTGAAGTCCTTGAGGTGCTACAGGGTCACTAGAGTTCCCGCTAGCTGGGAACGCTCTTGGGCAGCACCTGTCTGCATACTTGGGATTCAAGACTGCTGAGGAATAGGTACGGTCTACACTCCCTGGAACCAAGGTGTAAAACGGTCTTTACCCATTTGCCTCGTGCTGAAGTATGGCTGCCAGTGTCCCCCACTCCCAGTGAAGCTGCCTCTTCCTCCTCCCATGACACGTCTCTGTGACTTGGCCCTTCTTCCCACACTCTCCCTAATAGTCTGAGAGGGAAGAATTGGGTCAGGGCGGAGCCTGGTTGGTCTAAAGGAAGGGAGGAGTTGGGAGCCCCAAACTTCTTTCACCTTTCCTTGTCCAGCTTAGCACCTCCACGGATTACTCAGTGCAGGGAAACAGTAAACAGCAGGGTGGTCAGCAGGTCCCAAGCAAAATCCCTGAGGCCTCCTGCTTTGATCTTTTAAAAAATGCTTTTGGGTTTTGGACCACACCCCCGGCAGTGCTCAGGGCTTACTTCTGGTGGATTCAGGGGACCATCTGTGGTGGCTGATCAATTTTGGTAGGCCACATGCAGGACAAGCACCCTACCCACTGCACTATCTTTCTGGCTCCGTAATTCCCAGTTACTTTCTCTTCGGCAGCCATTGTCTCCTGTCCACCAGTCAGTTATACCTTTATTCACCTTTTCCTTTTGTTCAATTTAGATTTTGATATTTTCATTATTATATGATATGTCACTGTCACTGTCCTCCCGTTGTTCATCGATTTGCTCGAGCGGGCCCAGTAACGTCTCCATTGGAGACTTTGTTGTTACTGTGTTTGGCATATCGAATGCATCACGGGGAGCTTGCCAGGCTCTGCCGTGCGGGCGAGATACTCTCGGTAGCTTGCCGGGCTCTCCGAGAGGGGCGGAGGAATCAAACTCGGGTCGGCTATGTTGGCTGCGTGCAAGGCAAACGCCCTACCGCTGTGCTATCGCTCCAGCCCCATCATATGATATGATCTATGGAAAATAATACAATATGACTTAGTTTATAAAGAAAAAAGATAAGTGTCAGAAAGATCAGTGTTGAGCCTGGTTAGATCACTGGAGCCATCTAGAGTGACTCTGGAGCCAGGAGTAAGCCCTGAGCATCACAGTGACCACAAACCACACAAAAGAAATCACTCCTTCAAATACAGACATGCTCTATACATATCCTTCCTCCCAAACCTTCCCCATATCTGCCAGCTGCCATTTTGCATCTTACTGGTGCATTTTAGTACCTGGATATATTTGTATTGTTTATTTGTTTTTTCTTTATCACATCTTAGCCAAATGAAAGCATCTTTAAAAAGAGGGACTTTTTGGATTTTGTTTTGTTTCATTGTTTTTTTTAATGCCTCAAAAGGATCAAATTAACTTTTCATAAACATTCATGGACTGACTGACTAGAACTTGGAATCCAAGCTCAGTGACTAGAGAATAGTATTCCGTGATCCTTATAGATATATAAAAACAGGGAGCCCTGTGTGGAGAGAAGCCCGACTTCCTCACTCCTGATCTCACATTTCCAGAGCACTAAGCTTGAAGTGGATCTCAAAGACCAGATTGGTCCTCTTAGATTATGATAAGGGAGCAATAAATAGAAGAACTTTATGTGGCCACAGTATGCTATTATGAGATACTTTAGTAAGAAAGAGATGCTGTGGTAAGTGTGTTCTCTCGCTGAGTCACACTATTCAGCAGACACTGATGCAGGCTTTATTCTGTGTCGGTTGCAACTCCCAAGAGTTAAAGACTCAAAGGAAAGGTAACAGGTGAAAAACCCTGTCTGCACAGATTTTATATTCTGGGGAAGATAAAAAATAAACAAGATAGCTAAGTAAAGTCTATGGTATCTACATTAGTTAGTAGAAAGTGCCAAAGAAGGGGGATAAAGGCTAGAAAAACTGTGCGTGTGTTTGTGTGTGTGTGTTTGTATGTGTGTGATAACATGTAGTGGATTAAATGATCAATGATGGTTTCACTAATGAGATGATGTTTGTGGGGTGAGATGTGGGGAAAGGTGTTGAGAAATAAAATTCTGTAGAAATCTGGGAAGATACAATTCAGACAGAGGCCATAAATGCCAAGGTCTTGAAGTGGGAATGCCTGTAACTTGTTGAAACAAAATAAAAAAAGTAATAGGCAGGGGAGGTTGAGAGAAAAATGAGAGGAGAAGGTTGGGAAGAGGGTTGTGAATAGGGAGGTTCTGTAAGGCCTTAGGAGTTATTGTGAAGACAGGTAAAAACAAACTTTTACAGTATGTGAAACAGGAGGCATTGGGTAATTTTGAAGGAAGACATGATGTAACCTGATTTATGTTTTAAGTGATCTCTTTGGCTGTGGGTTGTTTATGGACAAACCCTTGAAAATGTAACTGTAGTAATGTAAGCAGGTCTGTGCTTCCTGAGAGAGTGAGGGGTTTTAATGCATTCAGTTTAAAGACAACACTGACAAGATTAAGTCAAGAGAAAGGAAAAGTCCAGGTTCTTTGGTTTGAGCAACTAACAGAGTTGACGTAAACCTTAGGTGGAAAATGTACAGCTCTAATTTGTTTCTAATGCATGCGATCTATTTGTTAGACCTATATCTGGAGGGTGAGGACTAGTAATTTACTTGTACAACAACATGGGAGATTTTTTGTTTGGAAATAGAAATTTAGGAATCTTGGGGCTGGAGTGATAGCATAGTGGCTAGGGCATTTGTCTTGCACGTGGCCAACCCAGGTTTGATTCCTAGCATCCCATATGGTCCCCCAAGCATCGCCAGGAGTAATTCCTAAGTGCATGAGACAGGAGTAACCCCAGTGCATCGCCAGGTATGACCCGGCAATGCAAAAAAAGCAAAAAAAATAATAAATTTAGGAAACATTCATCCATAAATGTTATTTAAAGCCACAAGACAATGAGAATACCTAGGGAGTGAGGGTACTTGAAAAAAAGAAGTTAAAGAATACCAGGGAACACACCACTGTGTGTAGAGACAATCGTGGAACATGAAGTAAATCACCAAAGAAGTTAGGGACTAACTCAGGACAGTGAGACATGTATACAGAACACCAAGAGAAGAAAGTATGAATGGTGAGTTAACACTACTTAGAAATTAAGATACAAGCAGAATTGAGGTGGTGTGAGGTGTTTTGAGGATGAACACTTGACTGTGCTTAGGAGAGTACTTTCATGGAGTTTTCCTTCAGTGGGAGAAGGAAAGTGGAGTGTGAAGGAAACAGGCCAAGAGAGGGTTTTGTTGCTGAAAAAGTAGATGTTTCAGTACCGATGGGAATGATCGGGCAGGAGTGAGTTCAAGAGAAGAGACTCCTGAGCGCATGTCTTTGAATGTCGAAGAATCTGAGAAGTCCCGTGAACAGTGGAGGACTGAGCCATAGCTCCATGCAAAAGCTGCTCAGTCTCGGTCCAGGAGAGAAGGGAACCACAGTCAAGGCTAGGTGGTTACATGAGTCTGAAAGTTCTCTCATATTTTTCCCCTTCAGTTTTCTCAGTGACATAAAAAGGAAGCCAAATTGTCATTTAGGAGGATGGGGACTTGGTTCTGGAATTTTCAGGAGGAAAGATGTGTGTGTGTGTGTGTGTGTGTGTGTGTGTGTGTGTGTGTTGTGTGTGTGTGTGTGTGTGAGAGAGAGAGAGAGAGAGAGAGAGAGAGAGAGAGAGACAGACAGACAGACAGACAGACAGACAGACAGAAAGACAGACAGACAGGCAGGCAGGGAGATAGCATACAGCAAGTATGATTATTTTCCTCCTATTATTTGCAGCTGTGCTGACAGGCAATAAGATAAATAACGTGACATGCTAATAGTTTACCAAGCAAGTAATATTCCTCTATACTATTCTCATTTTTCAGATGGTTAAATGGTTTTAACTGGGAAGGATTAAAAGCACGGAGTCTCCCATCACCTTTACAAAGAGAGGTATGTTATCTTTTACTGTGCATCTCTGTGGAGATTTATTTATTTTATCAGTCTTAATTAAACACATTTTAAGACTATGTGTGTATATGCAGTGAAATATTTTTATCTTTTATTTAAATTTATTTTGATCTTTTAAATGTTTTTAAAGATTACAGTAAAATGTCATAGTAGTGATTATAGGAATTTATATTGTCTCACCTATTTGAGAGGCATTACCTCACTTCTCAGAAAACAGTTGCATTTAAATCCAAGTCCCTGGGTGGTGTGTTAGTCAGAACTGACAGGTGGTTCTAGAAATGCAATATGAGCAATTTTCTTGTCATATAGAAAATATAAAGAAATAAGTGAGATTAATTTGAATTATAATATAGCCAATTATCACTAATACGCTCTATATGAAATATGAATGAAGTATGACAATTTTTTCCACACTAACTTTTCAAGATCTCCAGTGACTTCGCACTTGCCACCAGCCTCATTTCAGATTAGTCACATCTTGGGCACCGGGTCACCATGTGCTGCCAGTTGCTCAGCACAGTTCCCTGAAAGCAGAACATCTGTTAAAGTGGGAGGAACAATCGGGACTTGTGAAGGGCAAGGTCCTGGCAGAGGCTATGCTGGGTTCTCTGTAAAGTAATACAGAAGATCTGTGTCTCCTCTATAATTCTTTAGGTAGACATCTGAAATTTTCACTGCAAGTTTATGGAAGATGCCATCTAGCTTGTTGTAAATAATGACATTTTCCAAAGAGAGGCTACTATTTCCTCAAAGAACTGGAAGGATAGCTTCTATAATAAAAGACTCTCATAATTTAATTTACAACATTTGCATCACGGTATGCAGGCATAAATGTGTTATCCCTTTTTCTTTTTGAATTAATATTACTCATTTTATTCCATTTCTCTATACAATTTCATCATAATGCCAAATGTTTTGATAATTGACAATATTTTTAATTGATCAGGTACATTTCAATGAAAATTTTCTTTTTTGGAGTTTGGGCCAGATATGGCTATGCTCAGGGCTGACTTCTGGCTCTCTGCTCAAGGATTATTCCTGGCAGAGATTGGGGGGCTGGGGACCATATGTGGTCCTGGGGATCAGTCTGGGTTGGCCAAGTACAAGGCAAACACTTTACCTTCTATATTATATCTGCAGCCCCTTAATGACAGTTTTATACATTAAAATTTTGGTGACCCCACAAATATTTTTTTAATGAAGCTTTATTTTTTTAATTTTATTTATTTATTTTTTTTGCTTTTTGGGTCACATCCAGTGGTGCACAGGGCTTACTCCTGGTTCATGCACTCAGGAATTACTCCTGGCCATACTCAGGGGACCATATGGGATGCTGGGAATTGAACCTGGGTTGGGCTGCATGCAAGGCAAATGCCCTACCCACTGTGCTATCACTCCAGCCCCACAAATATTTTTTTTTGTAGTCAGTTATAATTACATTTGTATAGCATGCCATTATTAACAAGATAAATATATTACAATTTTGAAGTAATTGCAAAACAAAAAATTTGGAAAGAAATTGGTATGCCTGAGTATATGTGACTCGTTGGCAGAATAAGATCAGATCCCATAGCAATTCAATTTCCTTTCATAATCATAAGCAAATGCTAAGAATTTTGTCATATTAAATATGTAAATAGGAATAGAAGGATTTATAGAAACAATATTTGTTTGAATATTCTCTAAGTGATTTTCTTACCCCTACTGAAATACATCTATTACTGATAGATTTTTTGATGCTCTATTAGTTAATTTAGTTAGGTACTTTTGAAATTTGTTTGAAAGTAGATAATTGGAATCCATTAATTTATAAGATACCTTAATTCCAGAATCATTTTACTTAACAAAGCAACTCATACTCCAGATACATTATAGAGGTCAAATTCAGAATTGGTGAGAAACTTTTTTGGTTTTGTTTTTGTTTTTTGGGTCACATCCAGCAATACACAGGGGTTACTCCTCACTTTGCACTGAGGAATTACTCCTGGCAGTGCTCAGGGGACCATATGGGATGCTGGGGACCAAACCCAGGTTGGCCGTGTGCAAGGCAAATGCCCTACCCACTGTACTATCACTCCAGCCCCAATTGGTGAGAAACTTTTATAAAGTAGAAGAATGATTCTGGAAAGTTTTAATTTCCTCTTGAAATATTTTTATTTCAGTTTGAAAAGCATGGACATTTTTCCATCATCTTTCCTTTTAGAAATAACTCCTCAGGTCAGATACCTTCAATTGTGACCCAGTTCATTTGGTCTACAGAGAAAGGTTTGAACTGAGGGCATGACTGAAGTAACCATTGACCATCTTCTCCTTCTGTGTATCCTATTAGCCGTCATAGTACAAAGCCAGTGTGAAGGTATAGAGCGTTGCTCATTTGTAAGTTCAAGTTTAGTCAACACTGTTCTCACCTTTAGTTTAATCCTTTCTCTGTCAGCTCAGTGGACCCACAGATCACAGCTACTTTGACAAGTATCCACCTGAGAAGGGTGTGCCTCCGGATGAGCTGTCAGGCTGGGATAAAGACTTCTGATTGAAAAAACAAGAAGAAGATCATTATTTAGCCTGCATAGAAAAGGATATGAGGAAAAGTAATCCAACACGGATTTTTTTCACTTTGGAGTATTACAGTATACCTTACAGAATACTGTCTGAAAAAAGAAATCCCTGCCAGGATTTGAGGGTGGACAATAATGGGTATGGAGGTGGAACTGAATTATAATGTCTTATTGAGGAGCTGTGAATTACTCATCTATTCCAGTCTTTGTTTTTATCAACTGTTAAAAGCTATCGATTTTTCTCCATTGTCAGTCCATTATTTTGTTGCAGAGACATATCTTTTTTTCTGCAGTCTATGTCTCCATCCCTATCATGCTCCTCTAAAATGGGTCTTGCTAAATTGAGTTATCCTAATAGATGAAAGGTTGTGGGTAATTTTGAAAGATTTTCTCTGCTCATGGCATCTCCAATTCAGCATGATGGCATCTTAAAATGGTGGTGTGCAGAAATCTTGGTAGCCAATAGAAGCTTTTAACTTTTATCTGTATTCAACTTAGAAATATGTTATTATGCTTCTGATAATAGTTTAGGGAAAAGCAGGTTTGAGTATTAGTCATTGGTAACACCTCCAAAAATTAATCCAGATAGGTAATTATAATTGTTCTTTGGGGAGAATTAAGAAAAATAAACACAGTCTATATTTCATTCTCCTGTGACCAGTTGTGAAACCTCAGAGTCTTTTCAACATGGTTGAAAAGGTGGTTGTCCTAGATGGTCTGGTGATGTGCTTCTGGGAAAGTTTTATTTTATATACTTTTTATCTATATAAATTATCTATATATTTTCTCACTAAAAATGGAAAGCATGCAGGAACAAAATTGTGAAGGACTTTCCCTTCCATTAAATATGAAGGAGAATAGGTTCTAATAGATAAGGTTGCTGACTCTAAAATTCTGAGATATTTTGAGGAACTGTATGATTGTTGCTGTTAATACACCCAGAGTACAGAATAAGCACAATTAATTTTTAATGAAATTCCCATTGGCAAATGTGGAGGTACTGTAATCATTGCTGCATTTGCAACTCTTTTTAAAGGCATTTGTTTGACTCATGGATGTGTTTATAATTTTAGATTGTTTAAGTTAGGCAAGCTGCTGGAGAAGTGAGGGAATGTTAAGAGTAATAGAGACATCCAGCATCTGTCTCCTCTTGTGACTTTCTTGAAGTCTTCTGAGTCATTAACAGGTTAGTTTTAATAGCACTGGATGCCAGAACCTGAGAATTTTACTGGAAAAATGTTTTTATGTTTCACTCCCGTGTTCTACCATGATTATTTCCTACTCTCTATCCCAAATAGAAACAGATTTTTTGTGTATCTTTTCTGGATCAAGAAAAGTAAAAATAACATCTAAGTTCCCTGCATTATTCAAGCTTCTGAGTTATTTTTATTTGCTAATGTTCTATGGGAAAAGCAACCTCTACCCACACTCCACCCATATTTTCAGCGCCGCAAGAAAGTCAGCTGTATGCTTCCCGAAGAGTTAAATCAGATAAGTGAAACCTGAGTGAAGAAGGTTCATCTTCAGCACATAGAATCCTCCCATTTAGAACCCCTTTGCTGAACCAAAGAATTTTGTTTCCTGAAGTTGTATTTTTTAAGATTACGTATTGTACATAGAACCATTTTTAATAGAAATATAATCTGCTTAATGAACTTCTCTAAGATTTTTAAAGACTTTTATTTCCATTTGGTTTGTATGCACTATATGTTTTCCCATGTATATATTTTTAAGTTGACCACCTATAAATTTGGGAAATTTTTGTGTTGGGTGGACATTTGAACTGTACAGTTATAATAGCAATGATATCACAATGGATGTAATTCAAAAAAATATCTACAAATAGACAAATAAAAATGAACTTTGAGTACAGCTGTTGCCTGTGATTTTTTTGCCCACATGTGATTTTTATTGTGTTTCCATCAGAGTATTTTATAAAGATGAAGAAATGAACTATTGAAAAAAAAATGAACTCTTGAACCCTTATATAATTCTGATCTTACTTTCTCCCTGCTGTTGATCTTGGGGGAAAGGTCTTCATTTAATTTTGCATATTTTCTTCCACTTGTGCCTTTGTTTCATTGAACTCATTAAACACTCTTATTAGGTGGCTCAAAGCCCTTTACTGAGAGGCTGTAGAGATGGTTGGGATGAGTTAAATTACTGTCTTCACTCACTAGCTTGGTGGGCTTCTACGCTGCTTCCGGGTTGTGTCTTTTGCAGTCTGGAGGTGAATTTTTACAGTTTACCATTCACCCCCACACCCCAAGAGAGCTCTGGGAGGGATGGATGGAAAAGTTGTAGCACTTTTCCTTCCCTGCCCTACCTATCCTAGTAAAGTTTTTCTGTTTCTGGTTTCTTGTTTTGAGTTCATGGTGTGGTTTTACAGGGCAACATCCAAAGTCATGGGCCTTCTCCTCCTCCTCCAGCTATAATTTGGGGTTCTGTGATTTATTACTGCCACTGCAGCCTTGTGAGGTTTTGCTGTGGGATCTGTGGATTGAACTGGGATTGAGTAACTATTAGTCTGAAGTGACTGGGGGCAAACGGGGCCACACATGCGCCTGTGGGTTCACTGCAAGACATCTCAGTGTGCTCATGTGAGATATGAGGTAGAGAGTTCTGGAAACTGAGAAATTCTTGAACTTGAGATAAAGAGGCAACATTTCGTACATAGAGTCCTTCTGTAGATGAGAGTCAATTGGTCTGAGGGAGGCCCAGGAAGAGGGAGGGGCACAAAGAACTCTACTGGGAGATGGATCACTTTTTCCTTTTTTTTTATAATTAAAAAATTTTTTTTAATAGTGAGACATCATGATGTACAGTTATATACTTACACATTTTTGTGCTTGGGTTCCAATTATACAATGATCAAATACCATCCCTCCACCAGTGCCCACTTCCCACCACCATGCATCCCAGTGTCCCTCCCACCCCCCTCCCCCCCATCCCACCCTGGCTCTGTGGCAGGGCATTCCCCTCTTTTCTCTCTCCCCTTTTGGGTGTTGTGGTTTGCAAAAGAGGCAATGGGTGACAATCATGTTTGGTCTATAGTCTACTTTCTGCATGCTTCTCCCATCCTGGGAGGATCCTCCCAACACCCTTTATTTGGTGTTCCCCTCTTTATCTGAGCTCCCTTTTCCCTACTATGTGTGGTTGGCCTCCAAGTCATGGAGTAGAATTCCTGGTACTAATCTCAGCCATTCTTGGGTGTTAGTTTCCTATTTTGTTACTTTATGTTCCCCAGATGAATGCAATCTTTCTATGTCTATCCCTTTCTTCCTGAGTCATTTCGCTTAACATGATACTTTCCATGTAGTACCATTTGTATGTAAATTTTGTGACTTCATCTTTTCTAACAGCTACATAGTACTCCATTGTGTAAATGTACCAAAGTTTCTTTAACCCGTCATCTGTTCTTGGGCACTCAGGTTTTTTCCAGATTCTGGCTATTGTAAAGAGTGCTGCAATAAACAGGCAATTGCAGATGTCACTTCGACTATACTTTTTTGCCTCTCTGGGATTTATTCCCAGGAGTGGTATTGCTGGATCAAATGGGAGCTCAATTTCTAACTTTTTGAGAATCGTCCATACTGTTTTCCAAAAGGGCTGAACCAGTCGGCATTCCCACCAACAGTGAAGGAGTGTCCCTTTCTCACCACATCCTCACCAGCACCGGTTGCTTTTGTTCTTGTGGATGTGGGCCAGTCTCTGTGGTGTGAAGTGATATCTCATTGTGGTTTTGATCTGCAGGAGATGGATCTTTGACCGGGGATAATGGCAACATCTGGTAGGCAGAGCCCTAATGAAGTCCTTTTCATATTTTCTGAAATTTCTCCAGGGAAGATTGTTAGGTGGTGAAAATTAAGAGATTTTGAGGCAAATGATCTGAGTTGGATTTCCAGCTCTCCACATTTTCTTGACTAACAGAAAGCATGAACGACAAACCAGACCTTATATTTTCTGTAACTTGGTGATTTATGTATGTACATGTAAGGTTTTGAAACCTAGGGTCAGATAATTATTACTCATAAGTCATTAATAGTAGCCACTTATGGATAAAATGTATGTATACTTATTTTAATTTTTTTAAAAAGTCCTTGGTTCTAATTGACAGGGATTATACTACATTAATTATATACTTGATCTTGTTCATACAGTATTACTTTTAGTGAGGTAAAATCGTTTTTATTTAAGGAAATTTGCTTAGAGACATGTTTAATTATGGGAATTGTGTCCCATTCAGTGAATATTTCTAAGGAGCCAGAATATGGTGAAGGACAGGAACAATGGGCATTGCAACGAGGTTTTCAAAATTAAACTAAAGCATGTTTTATTAAACAAGGAAATTACTTACTCCTGGTCCAGTGTAGTGGAAAATAGTTCAAGGATTACATGAGGCTTCTTACTTAGGAAGAGATGCTTTAGCAACAAGAGTAAAAAGTATCTTCCCTAGGAAGGGGATAAATAGGACACTCAGAGAAGTAACTCTGGGTTGTGCTTTGTGTGTGGTTGATGAACCTGGTGGGAATCCTGGACCTCCTCTCCCGGTACCCCATGTTCAGCTTGGGGGAGCCCACCCAGAGGAGGACTGGGTGAAATATTTATTGGTTCTTATTGACACCTTTTTTCACTCAGGGAACCTCAGAGTGTGATGGGTGAGAGCCCTCCCTGCCCCAAGGGACCCAGCCCTGGCAGCAGACCTCCACTACCCAACCTTCGCGATGCTCCAGGCCACTTTCCAGACCACTTTGCGGCCACGTGACACATTATAGGACACTTTCTACCCATTTTCCATAATTTCCACACACCATATTTGATGGGATTCAGACAGTAGGCAACAAATCATAGAAATCTATAAATATATGTCTTCTGGAGAGCCCAGCAAGCTACCAAGAGTATCCCGCCTGCACGGGCAGAGCCTGGCAACACCTCTCATTCCCCTGACCCTGAAAGTGCCTCGAATTGTTGGGAAAAGACAAGTAAGCAGAGGCTGCTAAAATCTTAGGGCTGGGAGGAATAGAGATGTTACTGGATCCCGCTTGAGTAAATTGACGAACAATGGGACAACAGTGATACAGTGATTGACACCTTCATCAGGTAGATCGATTCATTTGCCACCCATACAGAGAAGGCCAGAGAAGTGTCTAGAGTGTTACTTAAGAAAATAATTCCTACATTTGGCTTACCCAGCCACAGAAGAGAGACAATGGTGCTTCTTTCACTTCTAAAGTCACTCAAGATTTGGTCTATGATTTAAAAATAAATTAACTCCATACA